GTGGCCATTTGGGGAGTGAACCAGTGGATGGAAGACACTCTATCTCTCCCTTTCTCCCTCTCTCCCTCTCTCTCTTTCCCTCTCTGTGTGTAACTCTGCTCTCAAATAAATACATCTTTAAAAAAAAGTTTTCCTTATAAAAAAGATAAAAATAGTGTGAAAAATACCAGCATCCCCTTTATCTACATTTACCTGTTAACATTTTACCCCATTTACTTTTTTTTTTTAAATTTTTTTTTTTTTTTTTGACAGAGTGGACAGTGAGAGAGAGAGACAGAGAGAAAGGTCTTCCTTTGCTGTTGGTTCATCCTCCAATGGCCGCTGTGGCCAGCGTGCTGCGGCCGGCGCACCGTGCTGATCCGATGGCAGGAGCCAGGTACTTATCCTGGTCTCCCATGGGGTGCAGGGCCCAAGTACTTGGGCCATCCTCCACTGCACTCCCTGGCCACAGCAGAGAGCTGTCCTGGAAGAGGGGCATCCAGGACAGAATCCGGCGCCCCGACCGGGACTAGAACCCGGTGTGCCGGCGCCGCAAGGCGGAGGATTAGCCTAGTGAGCCGCGGTGCCGGCCCCCATTTACTTTTTCTTTGTTCTCTTTTTATCTGTGCATGTCTGTCTGTTGTCTTTAGTGACGTGAACATTTTTGAAGTATATAATCTGCCTCCTTTTTTTCCATTGTTAGAATTTTGCAAAATTAGCTATGTAACATACTGCATGGCTCATCTTTGTAAAGTGTCCAACTCAGTGGTTTTTGATATATTGATAAGATTATGCAACCATTACCATGCTCTGATTCCACAACATTTTTATCACCCTTCCAAAAAAACTTTGTACACTTTAGTAGTCTTTCATTCCACTTGTCTCAGCCCCTGGCAACCACGAACCTATTTTCTGTCTCTTTAGATTTGCCTATTCTGCATATCTCATATAAATAGAATTGTACAATATGCAACATTTTATGTCTGGCTTCTTTTACTCAGTATGATGCCTTCAAGATTCTTCCGGGCCGGCGCCGCAGCTCACTAGGCTAATCCTCCGCCTTGCGGCGCCGGTACACCGGGTTCTAGTCCCGGTCGGGGCACCGGATTCTGTCCCGGTTGCCCCTCTTCCAGGCCAGCTCTCTGCTGTGGCCAGGGAGTGCAGTGGAGGATGGCCCAAGTGCTTGGGCCCTGCACCCCACGGGAGACCAGGATAAGCACCTGGCTTCTGGCTTCGGATCAGCAGGGTTCGCCGGCCACAGCGGCCATTAGGGGGTGAACCAATGGCAAAGGAAGACCTTTCTCTCTGTCTCTCTCTCTCTCACTGTCCACTCTGCCTGTCAAAAAAAATTTTTTTTCTGTTTGGTTGTGTAAAGAGATTGTTGACAACTTCCTTTGTTTTAGGAGGTAGGCATGCCTTATAACTGAGATATTATTTATCTAATGGTTTACGAGGAGAACAAAGAGAACTGGGAAGCTAGTCAAATGTTTCCCCATTTAAAAAAATCATGGAGAAAATGACAGTAAATGTAGCATTAGTCATATAACCTTAAGTGGAAGAAAATACAAAAATGGATTCTGTTAGCATAATTATTTTGAAGGTGTGATGGCAAATCCAGACAATGCTGCAGGAATAAAATTTGTTTAGATAATATATTTATGTCTATCATAATTGTTTACTCCTACCTCATGGGGAAAAAATTAGAGTGTCTAGTTCAAATATCTTCAGTCATATGTAAGAATATTTTTAAGTTTGTTTATTTATTTGGAAGGAAAAGCAAAGGAGAGAGAGAGAGTGAGAGAGATTGAGAGAGAGAGAAAAAGAAATCTTCCATCTGCTCGTTCACTACCCAAATGCCTGCTTGCAACAACCGGGGGTAGGCTAGGCCAACACTAGAAACCAAGAACTCTGTCCTGGTTTCCCAGGGTGTGCATCAGCAGAAAGATGTATCAGAAGCAGAGGCAGGGCTTGATCCCATGCACTCTGATATGGGATGCAGACATTCCAAGCAGCAGCTTAATCTGTGCTACAACATCAACTCCCTTTAGCTGAAATATTAATAATAAAACTTTGATTAGCTAAAATATCACCAGAAATGTTTTAGGATGATATAACTGTCTCAATAAGTGGTATAAACTTATAATCACAAAAATTTAGAATTAAGTACAAAAATATTTAAGAATTAAACTTAGGAATTAATAGTTTTGGGTTTAAGAGTCAATTCATATTTATGTTACATACTTGGAATACAGCCCATTAGAGTAATATGTCAGTCTTCTAATCTCATTTAAAAATTTACAGTTAAGTAGTTGACTTATTCTTGTGATTATTAAATAGAAATTTATTTATTCTTGTATTGTTAAATAGAAACTTATTTATTCTTGTGATTGTTAAATATAAATCTTACTGAATTTATATACATTATATGAATGTTTATGCAAACTCATTAGTCACCATATTTATACATTTAACTTACTAAATTTCTAAAGACTACTTTAACTACTTGGAAACTTTCGTGAGATAAGTGAACTGTGTAAAGTAAACAGAATGTCTCAGGGTATTTAACTAAGTCTATAAAAGGGACCAAATAGTCCAGACTCTTAAAAATAATTTTTGGTTGGATGCTAGACGCTGTAAACGTGATGTTAAGTGCTTAATTGTTTTTTTCTTTACAGAATGTTGGATTTGTTCTTACAGGCAGTATTTTGTAGATTAGCTTGGGTTTTATAAAACTGCTTTAAAGCTTCATTGGGGCAGATCTAGTACAGACATTACTCTAGGGCTAGCCCTACTGCTACGATGTTCTCCGGTTTCTACTGAATGCTCTTACTGTTCAAAGAGGTTTCTCTATAGGGAGTTAGATCTTGCTTGAATGACTTCCAGCCTTTTGTAAACTTGAGGGATTTTTCAGTTTACAATTCCTTGATTTTTCTTGGCCTAGACTGTGGAATTTTTTTTTTTTTTTTTTTTTTTTTTTTTTTTTTTTTTTTTTTTTGACAGGCAGAGTGGACAGTGAGAGAGAGAGACAGAGAGAGAAAGGTCTTCCTTTGCCGCTGGTTCACCCTCCAATGGCCGCCGCTGCAGCCGGCGCACCGCGCTGATCCTGGCAGGAGCCAGGAGCCAGGTGCTTTTCCTGGTCTCCCATGGGGTGCAGGGCCCAAGCACCTGGGCCATCCTCCACTGCACTCCCTGGCCATAGCAGAGAGCTGGCCTGGAAGAGGGGCAACCGGGACAGAATCCGGCGCCCCAACCGGGACTAGAACCCGGTGTGCCGGCGCCGCAAGGTGGAGGATTAGCCTATTGAGCCACGGCGCCGGCTAAGACTGTGGAATTTACTCTCCGCATACACAGGTTAGCAGTCAGCTCTCAAGCTCTTTCTCTTATGGCTTCTTCTTTTCTAATATTCTGCCCTGTAAGTTCCTGCTGCTCCAGCCTGGAGAACTGCCAATTCTCCATCCCTGAGCAATGATCTCTGTGTGCCTTTTGTCAGAAACCTGGGGCTGCTCTAGTGCTTATCTCATTTATTTTTCTTTTCCCAGGAATCATGGTCTTGCAATCCCTGTTTTCTGATGTCTGAAAACAATCGAGATACATACACACATGCAAATCTTCTAGTTGTTTCTGAAAGCACATTTAAAATTTTGTTCCAGGACGATATACATAATTTCCACTAAGCAAGACAAATGGCAGAGACCAAAATCAATGAGGCATAGAAGTATACAAGTACTGTCTCTATAGGACAGCATAATGAAAATAGCAGTTTGGAACTGTAGTCAAGTTAGACAACCTGCCACAAAGAAGTTTAATAAAGTCCTGACAATCTGTTGTCCAGCTGTTTCCCAAATAGCAAGGCATTAATACTAATGGCAATGATGATGATGAAGACAGTGATAATTACAGCTATGTGCCAGGGTACTATTCTAGTTAACTTACATGTTTGCATATTAATTTTACATGAAATTTATACTATTATAAATATATTTCAAGAATAAAGAAATGGAAGCTTAATGAAGTAAAATTTCTTGTCCATGGTAAGTTGTAACACTTATATAACACTAGGTAATGTATCCAAATTATAGTTGGTACAATGTTCTATATTCCATCTTTTTTTTTTTTTTTTTTGACAGGCAGAGTTAGACAATGAGAGAGAGAGAAAGGTCATCCTTCCATTGGTTCACTCCCCAGATGGCCGCTATGGCTGGTGTGCTGCGCCGATCTGAAGCCAGGAGCCAGGTGCTTCTCCTGGTCTCCCATGCAGGTGCAGGGACCCAAGGACTTGGGCCATCCTCCACTGCCCTCCCAGGCCACAGCAGAGAGCTGGACTGGAAGAGGAGCAACCAGGACAGAATCCGGCACCCTGACCGGGACTAGAACCCGTGGTGCCGGCCTCTATATTCCATCTTAATGTATTAAAGATTCTAAGTAGTAGTTCCTTAGTGAAGAAATATGTGTAACTTTTTAAAGCCTAGTTTTTCACCTTTACTTTTGTGCTTGTACTTTATTATCAATCAGTGAGCCAATGTTCCAGGGAATGCCTGGACTGTAAGATCCATGTAACTTTATTGTTGATCCTGTTTGATTCTATTTGACTTTATAGTTCATGTTTTCTAACAACGCTGTCTCTTCCCTGTGTCCCAACGTGTGTAAGCCTATTTTTTCTTAAAGTGAAAATGACAATATCTATTTTATGGATAATTAAGTCAGATGACAAATACAAAGCATTCAGCATAGTACTTCATAAAATAGTAGGAGACAAATCTTGTTATTTTACTGTTGTTATTCGTGTTACTGCTATTCCAATGTAAGTCACCTTCTATTTTAACAAATATTTGTTGAATTTATTAGTTTTTAGTCATCATATTTAATATTCTTACCTTATGTACTTCTCTAAACTTGTTTGAAATTTGCAGAAAAATATAGCATGTTTGCATATTTGATAGCATCATGTCTAAACTTTTATTCGTAATAATTTAGATTTGCTATATAGAGACAAAAATGTTGGTTTTTTTTTTTCATTTTAGAGAATTATTACTACATTTCTCCACTAGTTGGTGTGATTTTCTTAGCTCTAACTCCTATATGGATTATAGTAGCTGCCAAACACCCAGCCACAAGGACAGTTCTGCACTCGGGCTGGGAACCCGTCATAACTGCCATGGTTATAAGCAGGTTAGTATTAAAGTGTGTGTGTATTCTGTATGTATGTATGTGTATATTAAAAACAATGCAGTTGCCTGTTTTATTTCTCGGATTAGTCATTTTATATAGCCACTGTATTATTCACTGAGATAATAAGGGATGTAAGTGACCGGAGTTACTGAAGTCACTGGAGGCAGAAACTTTTGAGATGCCCAGTCTCAAAGTCTTACCAGACTGATTAATAAAGTTTAGGTGTGCGTGTGTGTGTTAACCTGACAACAAGGATATTTTGTATTTTTAATAAGTTGCTCAGATGAGCTTCAGAAAGCCTTATTAATGTGTTGTATCTCTACCCTCTGACTACTTCCATCTGTAGTACTCTCACAGATTTAAAGATGTATGCAAAAGATTTTGTGGCAAGCAACCTCTTCACAGTGGAGTTTTTAATAAAAAGAAGCATCTAAAGGTCTAGTGGTCAGGTATTGATAGAGTAAATCATGGTATAGTCACAAAATGGAATAATAGATATTAAAAATAACATTAGTAGGAGCAGATGTTCGCCTAAGGGTTAAGATGCCCACCTCCTACATTGGAGTGCCTGGGTTCAGTGCATGGCTCTGGCTCCTGATTCCAGCTTCCTACCAGAGCAGACTCTAGGAGGCAGCAGGTAGGTGGCTCCAGTATTTGGGTTCTTGTCACCTATGTGAGAAGCCTACATTGCATTCTTGGCTCCTAGTTCTGGGCCTGACCAGCTCCAGCCATTGCAGTCATTTGGAAAGGGATGGGAGGATGGGAACCTCTCTGTCTCTCTATTCTGCTGCCTCTCAAGTAAATTTTTAAAAGTAATATTGTAGCATTTTTAGCTGTGGAAAGATGTTCATTATATATTTGATGAAAAGAGCAATCTAAAAAAGTGAATTTCTAGTGAAACATGGTAGATTCAGACACATTTACTTTTTTGCTCCCTGCAACTACTAAAATTATAGTACAATAATAAAATACTGTAAATCCACAAAGAGGAGGAGCAAAGAGGACAGCAGGTGAGGGATTTGGCAAAACCAGGGAGACAGGAATCATAAGGATTGTCATCAACTGAACCAATAGAATGAAAAAACTGATATCTAACCAAGCCAGCTGATCTGAGCCTCAGAAACCCAGAAGGGCAGAGGAATTAGAAGCAGTAAGTACTTCTGAAAGCTGAAGTTAAGAAGATTGGTTGAAAGTTTAGATACGGGGCAGTTCAATCCCAGAAGATCTTCTTCAGCTGGAGTGCCCTAGTGACTGCCCCCACCCACTCAAGCAAAAGACAGCAATGGACTCTGAGGAGACCAAATTAGAGAGGTTCTAGAAGACTAAGTGAATGTCTACACTGCACACTGAACAGTGAGAATGCTGTCTCATTCCCTTTTCTCTGTTCATAGTGCATTCCTGCAGCAGTTGGGTTTATAACCCTAGGCAAAACAAACAACAAAAAACCCCCGATAATCCCTTTCTGGGGAAATTCATTGACACAACACAAAGAAACTGCTGATGCTAACCTGTGTGAGTCCTTTGGTGAAAGAACTGCAAGACCCCTTGATGGTTCTTCAATGAGGCCCACCTGCCACCAGACCCCGTGGCCACTTGTGTATGCTTTGCACCCTCTTAAAGAGGAGCAGACAAGAAAGGGTCTACAGATATCTCACATAAAGACACATTAAAAAATAGTGTTCAAAGAAAGGCAGACGACAAGAGACAAATGAGAAAGAGAAAATTATTGAAGAAAATAATCCAGAAAATCTCCCAAAACTAGATTGTCAGGAAGGGACTTGTAAAGGGACAGAAGTGGGGAGTGAAGTGTAAAAGCAACTAAATCCTCATCTGCCATCATAGCAAGTCATTAGATAAATGTCTACAATTAGAAATGAAGAAACGGCAGTGCAAAATGTTATTTAGCAATATAGAACTGAATGCCAAAAGAAGCTGCTGAAGTTGAAAAGAATTCCTAGTAAAGAGAAGGATCTAGGGTGGGGGTTAGTATTTTCACTTTTTCAGTAATGCCCATGTTTTATAAGAATAGCATTTAATAAAAGCAAAGAAAACTGCTGTTATGATTTTATCCAAATTTAATTTTTAAAATTTTTTTGTTTATTTGAGAAACGAACAGATAGACATATAGAGTCAGAGAAAGCTTTTGTCTGCCAGTCCTCTCTCTGTATGCCCACAACTGCTGGGCCTGGGCTAGGTGAAGCTGGGAGTCAAGAAGTCAATCCAGGTGTCCAGTGTGTATGTCAGGAGCCTGATTACTTGGACCATCGTCACTGGCTGCTGGTATCTGTATTAGCAGGAAGCTGGAACCAGAAGCCAGAGCCAAAGGTTGAACCCAGGTAGTCCTAACTAGTAAGCTAAGCGTCTGTCTCCCAGTTTTTTTGTTTGTTTGTTTGTTTGTTTTTTTAAGATTTATTTTTATTTGAAAGGCAGAGTTATAGAGAGGCAGAGGCAGAGAGAGAGAGGTCTTACATCCGTTGGTTCACTGTCCAGGTGGCCACAGCAGCTGGAGCTGCGTTGATCCGCTGCCAGGAGCCAGAAGCCAGAAGCCAGAAGCATGGTCTCCCATGCTGGTTCAGGGGCCCAAGGTCTTGGGCCATCTTCTACTGCTTTCCCAGGGCATAGTAGAGAGCTGGAGTGGAAGTGGAGCAGCTGGGACTCGAACCGGCGTGTATTTGGGATGCTGGCACTGCAGGCAGCAGCTTTACCTGCCATGTCACAGCACTGGCCTTTGTCCCCCAGTTTTTTTTTTTTTTTTTTAATGCACACATTAAAAATTATCTGAGGTGGGGCAAGGGAGATATTGGAAAAAGGATACAAAACTTCATTTAGGCAGGAGGAATAAGTTCTGGGGGTCTAGTGTACAACATCGTGGCTATGACTAATGTATTCTTGAAATTTCCTGAGAGAGTAGATTTTAACTGTTCTCACCACACAAAAAAAAAAAAAAAAAAAAGGGGAAGGGGTAAAGTATATCAGTAAAGTACATGATAAGTGACTCAATTTAGTTATTCCACAGTGTATACATATTTCAAAGCACCATGTTATTTGGGATACATATATACATTTTGGCCAATTTAAATTCATAAATAATATTTAAGAAAAGGATGTCAAGAGGCTATTTACCAGCAGTGTAACAGTGTAACTCTGAATAAGTAGGATTTATTTATTTTCTTTTTATTTGTATTTTCTAATTTTTTTCTGTAGTAAGTTTTACTACTTGGGTAACAAAAGTATTATAAAATATTATGTTACATTCATAACATGACCTATACATTTTTACAGAGAGATTTATTCTTTGACTCCTAACTAGTTAGTTTTTTTTTAATTTTAATTTTTTATTTAGATAAGGTGAACAGATTTTGTATATTTCATATACAGTTTTTTTTTTAAATTTATTTGAAAGGCAGAGTTACTGAGAGGCAGAGAGAGAGACTAGTTTGTTCTTTTTTTTTTTTTTTGACAGGCAGAGTGGACAGTGAGAGAGAGACAGAGAGAATGGTCTTCCTTTGCCGTTGTTTCACACTCCAATGGCCGCTGTGGCCAGCGCGCTGTGGCCGGCACACCGCGCTGATCCAAAGCGAGGAGCCAGGTGCTTCTCCTGGTCTCCCATGCGGGTGCAGGGCCCAAGGACTTGGGCCATCCTCCACTGCACTCCCAGGCCGTAGCAGAGAGCTGGACTGGAAGAGGGGCAGCCAAGACAGAATCCGGCACCCCTACTGGGACTAGAACCCTGTGTGCCGGCGCTGCAGGTGGAGGATTAGCCTATTGAGCCATGGCACCGGTCTACTTTGTTCTTGACATTTATATTTCTTCTTAAATTAGGGCTTAAACTATTAAAATATTGCTTTTTTAAAGATTTTTTTATTTAAAAGAGCAACAGAGAGAGAGACAAACATCTTCCTTCTGCTGGTTCACTCCCAAATGGCTGCAGAATGGCTACAACAGCCAGATCTGGGTTTCCCACATGGGTGACATGTGCTCAAGTACTTGGGCCGTCATCTGCCTACCAACACACATCAGCAGGAAGCTGAATTCGAAGCAGAGCAGTCAGGACTTGAGCTGGCACTCTTATGTGACATGGTGAGCCACAACATTGGCCCCAAAGTATTAAAATATTTCTAAAGAGGACTAATTCTGTACTCTAAAGTGTGTCGTTTAAATAGGAACTCTCACAGTTTAGGCATATTAAACTTTAATTCATTCATCTTACTGAAGAATTAAAATAATAAGTTTTAATAATGCCCTAATGTTAATTGTTAGGTAGTGATAAGATCATTTGATCTGATATTTTCACAATCAGCCCCATTCTGTGAAAGTATGCAATTCATTTTGTTGTAGTGAACCGTTTTCTGGAAGATTTAGGCAACAGGATTCCATGGGCTGTTGGGCTGGCAAAGTTTGATAGTCCATAAACCAGGGGTAGGGTGCCTTTCTTCTGCCAAGGGCCATTTGGATATTTATAACATCATTTGCAGGCCATACAGAATTATCACCTTAAGAATTAGCCTACTATAGATGTATTGAATTTCAAGTCCCACCTATGGTTGACTTGGCAGGGTCAGTCCAAATGATATTGCAGACTTTATACGTTCCCCATTCCTGTACCCTGCAGCCAACAGACTGATGTTAATTAATGCATAATGGTCTTGGAAACATGAATGGGGGGGGGGAACCTCCAAGTTTCATTGAGATGTTGAGAATGTATGGTTTGCCACTGCATGACTTTGTAATTTTTCTAGATTTCTGATTTTTTTTAGATTTATTTATTTATTTGAAAATCAGAGTTAGGAGAGACAGAGAGCTCTTCCATCTACTTGTTCACTCTCCAAAAGACTGCAATGGCCAGGACTGGGCCAGGCTAAAGCCAGGCGCCAGGAGCTTCCTCCAAGTTTCCCATGTGGGTGGCAGGGACCCTACGACTTGGGCCATCTTCCACTGCTTTCCCAGATGCATTAGCAGGGAGCTGGATTGGAAGTGGAGCAGCCAGGATAGGAACCAGTGCCCATATGGGATGCCAGCACTGCAGGCAGGCAGCTTTACCCACTTTGCCACAGCACTGGCCCTGCTACAACTCACTTTAATTTGCTAGTGGTAAGACAAGACATATTGTAACTATATCTAGTTTTAGCTCAACAAAGTCGTCTCTTTAATACTTTTACTTCAAACATGAAAAGATACTCTTAAAATTTAGTTATCTTTTAAATTATGAGTGTTAGATGAAATGGTTTTTAAAATCCATAAACATAGAATGATATAAAATGACTGTCACTTCCTTGTCATTCTCAAACCTTAGAAATAGACGTGGTTGATAATTTATTATATGTCCTTCCAGACATTTTAATGGACTTAAATTGCACATTTATTTTCTTTTTATAAGGAGCATATATTTGAGATCAAAGTCCTGAAATTTGGGGCTATAGCTTATGCCATGTGTGATTTTCAATAAAGTCAGGATATCTATAAGTACAGAAAAACTTTAAGTACATTCTCTTTCCTTTTCTGTAAATTTTCTTATTTTATATCTTTCAGCATTGGAGGCCTTATTCTGGATACAACTGTATCTGACCCAAACTTGGTTGGCATTGTTGTTTACACGCCTGTCATTAATGGTAAGAATTAGGCATACTGTTTCATGATGGTAACAAATCTGTATATACTATGAGGAGCTACTAGAAGTCTCCAGGCTCAGATTTTCAGAGGTCTGTCTTTCCATCACATCCATTCTCCCTCCAGCCCTAAAATGTTGATCACAGTGGAAATTATACTCGGTGAGCTAAGTATGTAAAAAGAAAAAAAGGAATGGTTTCCTAATATTGTCATTAGATGTTAGTCTGAGAGTCAGGCATACCTGACTTTTAAGGTTGATGAGACAAAACAATGATGTTTTAGATCTGGAGTATCATTTATTTGAGGTTTATCTGCTACATTCTGTTGCTTTGTTTCTACTTTTATCACTATTCCTATTAAATTGTTAGATTTAAGCATTGCTTGAATCAGTTCAGTTCATTAAACTCTGCTATTCTGATCCCTTTAATTTTCTTATCTGTAAAATGAGAATTATAATACTTAAGTTCACAGGGGTATTTGTATGAATTACATTTAATAAGATAGTTTTAATCTACTCCTACTGATTTTGTGGTGGCTGTCATTAAACTGAGTTTAGAACAGCCTAGAACAATGTAATTTTAAAAAATACTTCTACCTGGGGAAAAGATGTCACAGGATATACTACACATTAATGTAAATTACTTTTTTGTGTTTATGTGAAAGAAAGTATGTTTTACAAAGGCAAGTTCTTTAAGATCTGATTTCATATCTGAAATTTCAACTGAAAAGTTTTGACTTTTGTATGCCTTTAGAATGTCTATGAACAAATTTTCCCAAAAAACCTCTCTCCCAATTTTCTTGGTCCTACCATTTTCCCATCACTCATCTTACAATCTTAGAACCATGTGATTCAACCTGACCCTTCATCCTCCCTGACTAGAAAATGAACAAATGTCTGTTTGTCCTTCTATGAAATTCACCTGTTTATTAATTATATAACAAGTCTCCCAATTGTAGTTAACAGACTAGTCTTTCTTAAACCATGTTTTTGTTTTTAAGATTTATTTATTTATTTGAAAGGCAGAGTTACAGACAGTGAGAGGGAGAGACAGAGAGAAAGGTCTTTTATCCGCTGGTTCACTCCCCAAATTGTTGTAACAGCCAGAGCTGCGCCAGGACTAAAGCCAGGAGCCAGAAGCCAGGAGCTTCTTTCAGGTCTACCACATGGCTTGCAGGGGACCAGGGGACCAAGGATTTGGGCCATTTTCAGCTGCTTTCCCAGGCACATTAGCAGGGAGGTGGACCAGAAGTGGAGCAGCGGGGACTCAAACCAGCATTCATGTGGGATGCCAGCTTTGCAGGCAGCAGCTTTACCTGCTATGCTACAATGCCAGCCCCTTAAACCTTGTTTTTATTACATTGGTCCTAGGATGATGAGCTTAACAGTGGTTTCTTCCTGCCTATCAAATTACATTTGAATTCTTCTTCCCAACTTTCAAGGCCCTAGATGTGGTTGGATTAGGTGTTCTCTAAGGACCAGAATAACTTTCCATAATCTTTCTAAATGTATATATTTTGAAATATTTATTTATTTATTTATTTATTTGAAAGTCAGAAAGTCAGGGTTATACAGAGAGAGGCAGAGACAGAGAGATACCTTCCATCTGCTGGCTCACTCTCCAAATGGCCTCAATGGCAAGGGTTGGGCCAGGCCAAAGCCAGGAACCAAGAGCTTCATCCTTGTCTTGCTCAAGTCTTTTGTCCACCCCTACATGGGTGCAGGGGCCTAAGCACTTGGGCCATCCTCTGCTGCCTTTCTAGGCACATTAGCAGGGAGCTGGATCAGAAGTGGAACAATTGTGACTTGAGCTGGTGACCATATGGGATGTTGCTTCTGCATACAGCAGCTTAACCCACTGCGCAGGCTCTAAATATATTTTCATATTTTTAAACCAAGATTGTCTAATTTTCATTGTCTGAAATGATGTTACTTGTGCAAACTCTGTTCCATGAATAATGACAGATGAATTAATTAGCATAAGCATTATCCTATAATGACTGTTCTAACTGTATCAAATAACATTTTCATGAGAAACCTAACTGAAATCACAACCCTTATGTTAGCAAGACTTCGGTGAGTATTTTAGTTGTTGTACCTTCCATGTGAAGCAATTCTGGAATTTCACTGACGTGTTGTCTGGAGGTCTGTGCCATGGCATTGCATGATGGTAAAGACCTTTTTGTATCTCAATAAACCTTCTAGTTGGACATCACAAATTAAATTCCACTCTTTAAAAATATGGTGAAGGAGTGGGTCTTTGACCTAGCAGTTAAGAAATCTGTGTCTCACAGCAGGGTACCTGGATTCAACTCCTGACTGCTGCTCCAGCTCCTGAACCCAGCTTCCTGCTAGTGCATATCCTATGTCGGAGGCAGCAGTTATGACCTGAGTGATTCAGTTGCTCTTAACTTTGATGAGATTCCCATAGCTCCCAGCATTGGTCCAGACTGGGGCCCATTGTTGGCATTTGGGGAGCAAACCAATGGATGAGAATGCTTGCTCTCTGTCTCTACCTCAAACTTAAAAAAAAAAAAAAAGGATTATCTAATCAGTGCTTTTCAAATAAGCTAAAACTTTTGAGAATGGAATTTTATTTTAATTATACTGGGGAATATGCTATTTAAATGATGCTGGTTAATCACCATAATCATTTGCTATATAGTAAGTACCTATAATATGTTAGATAACTTGTAGGTCTTTTTGTATATGTTACATATTTATATATATATATAATATGTTATATAACATTTAATCCTCACACTAACATAAGTAATTTGCACAAGATCTTAAATCTAATAGATGATGAATCAGGATTTAAATCCAGATCTGCTTCATTTTTAAAAACTGTTTTTTTCCCCTCAAAATATGTGGCTACTAGTTTATCTTTTTTGTTAGATACATGTATACATAAACTGCTTAAAGTAAGGCATATCTGTAGTTTTTTGTAAAGGATTACTTTTAATTCTTACTAACATCTGTCGGACTAGTAACATTTTCAAAAATAACATTTTGTGGTAATGCTAGTTATTTGAACTCTTAATAAATATATAAGTTGAACACTGAGTTCAGTGGTCAGTTAAATGTGGCACCATGAGGTTAAATCAGTTTTCTCTCCATGGAATTTCTAAAGCCTGTGATGCTACCAGTTTGTGAATCCCTCCTTCTGGCGCTTCTGTTCCCTAGCTGCTGGGATTTCTGGGTTTAAACCTTCCCTCAGACCCAAGTGTGTTTTTAAAGATTTATTTATTTATCTGAAAGGCAGAGTTACAGAGAGGCAGAAACGCGGGGTTGGTGGGGGGGGGGTGGGAGAGGAGAGAGAGAGAGAGAATGAGAATATGAATGAATCTTCCGTCCGCTGGTTCACTCCCCAGATGGCCGGAGCTGAGCCAATCCGGAGCCAGGAGCCAGAAGCCTCCTCTGGCTTTCCCATGCAGGTGCAGGGGCCCAAGCACCTGGGCTGCTTTCTACCACTTTTCTCAGGTCATGACAGAGAGCTAGATTGGAAGTAGAGCAGCTGGGACTCGAACCAGTGGGATTCTGGTACTGCAGGCGGTGGCTTTACACAAAGCCATAGTGCTGTCTCCATGGCTTATATATTTTTATCATGATCTTCTTTCAAACAGTTCTGTACTACAGCACACACAGGATAAGAAACCCCCATTAGTCCTCTTAGATTACTACCCTTCTTTCTCATGTCTTTTTTCACACATTTTACTTTGCTATAGATCCTACAATGCATTATTGTGCTTTAAACAGCCAGTCATTTTAAAAAGATGTTAAAAATGAGAAATTATATAAATCTACATTTCCAGTTCATTCTTCTTTCTTTTGTGTAGAGCCAGAGTTCCATCTGGTATTGTTTTTCTCTAAAGAAATTCTTTCCATGTTTCATGTAGGACAGGCCTACAATCAGAATCTTTAGACGTGGTCTCGCCCACCGTGCTTCCCTTACCTTTCCCTACACCTTGATTCTTACCGCTCACAATACCTGTTTGTAACTTCTTTCACTCCTGGCACTAAAGACTGGCTGACTCTTGTCTAGTGCTGAGTATTCCCTGTGCCTGAGCTACTATTCCACTGCAGTTCCTTATAATAGGATTCTTACTCCGGGAAGTCATTTTAACTTTCCCTGTGTCTGGTGTGTCTTCTTCTCGTTCATCTTTTCTCTTTTGCCTACACATGTGCTCAAGTCTTTTGTCCAAAAGCACGTTTCCTGTGGTGGTTTGCCTTGTATTTCTCTGCTCTTTACAACCCAGTCTTCCCAAGTGTAGTCTATACTTCTTCAATTCATTACAGTATCTTCCTTCCCTTTCACTCAACACAATTGCTTTTCGTAAAATCTCCAGCGATTTCCTTGTTACTTTGTACAATCTCTTGTTCTCAGTTTTCACTGCTTTCAGCTGTTTGATACTATGTAGTATGCACTTTGTACAGCTCTTCCAGTTTTCATCCATTCTCTGAAAATTCTTTTTCATTTTCATTCATCGATTCCTCCTTTTGCCTGCCTCGTAAGTGCCCGTATTGTTCATGACACTGTTCTTGATTATCTTCTACTATCAGTTTTGCCCTTCTTTTTGAGTGATGTTGTCTACTCCAAAGGTTTTCTTTTCTTTTCTTTTCTTTTTTTTTTTTTGACAGGCAGAGTGGACAGTGAGAGAGAGAGACAGAGAGAAAGGTCTTCCTTTGCTGTTGGTTCACCCTCTAATGGCCGCCGCGGCTGGCACACCGCACTGATCCGAAGGCAGGAGCCAGGTACTTATCCTGGTCTCCCATGGGGTGCAGGGCCCAAGCACTTGGGCCATCCTCCACTGCACTCCCTGGCCACAGCAGAGAGCTGGCCTGGAAGAGGGGCAACTGGGACAGAATCCGGCACCCCGACTGGGACTCGAACCCGGTGTGCCGGCGCTGCAAGGCGGAGGATTAGCCTAGTGTGCCGCGGCGTCGGCCTTTTTTTTTTTTTTTCCCAAAGGTTTTCAAAGTGTGGTCTCCAGACCAGAAATA